CTTGGGCAATGGATGAAAAACTCCAAGTCACTCATTCCTATAACAGTCAGGAATTTATAGTTGACATATCTAAGAGATCATGTACTTGTAATTTCTGGGATTTAGTTGGTATTCCTTGTAGGCATGCTGTTGCTGCTTTAGGATTTAGGCAAAAAAATCCAGAGGGTTTTGTTGATCACTGATATTATAGAGACAAGTATACAATATGCTATAGTTTTTCCGTGAGTCCAATTAATGGTGAGGAAATGTGGACAGAAGTTTAGTCAGATGAGATTTTACCCCCTATGTACAAGAAAGGTCCAGGCAGACAAAGAAAGTTAAGGATAAAGGAGTGTGGTGAAGAGGATGCTAGAAGGAGAAGATTGCCAAGTGTATCTTACAGATGCACTAAGTGTGACAAATTTGGTCATAATGCTCAAACATGTAAAAACACAACACAAGATGCTAATGGACTAAAGAGAAAGGTATTATTAGTGTGTATTTTGAACTGACATGTCATGTATTTTGAACTAACATATCATGTATTTTGAACTAACAAGTAATGTTTTTAATTTTTGTAGAGCAAGGTCAAGGTAGGTACAACTGAAACTGAAACTGAAACTGCAGTAAATGAAAATGAAACTGCAGCAACCACTAGTGGAACTCAGACTGCAACACCCCATGCTGCAACTGAAACTGCAACACAAGCTGGTGGAAATTAAACTGCAGTACCCCATGCTGCAACTCAGACTGTAACCAATGAACCAATTGACTATTTTGGCGACATAATTGGTGATTTCATTTCAAGCATTCCTGAAGTAAACACGACACAGTATTCTGCTGTGGTTGATAAACCAGACAACAGAATCAAGAAAAAATTGAAAGTGAAAGATGTTAGGCCAGTGAGAAAGAGGTCCAGTGAAAGAATAAAACTCTAGTGGTTTCAAAAACCAATTAAAGGGCCAAGTTCAAACCCCGAGCAACCTATGTATTTGACAGAAGAAGAAGGAAGTGGTTCTAAACGTAAAATGAATAAATCTAAGAAGAAGTAGTCTTATGTTTGTACTATCTATTATGCCCTTTTGATACTTTGGCATTAAGTTATGGTTTGCGTCCTTATGGTTTGTTAGGTTGTTATTCCCTTTTGTAATGACATTGACATTTTGTGTCCTTATGGTTTGTTAGGTTGTGTGATACGGTGGCAGAACCGACAGTTAAATACCGATTTTGCGTTTGTGTTTGCAAATGTTGCGGTAAGCAAGAGCCGCCACCAACTTTTTTTTAATCCAAATTAAGGAAAGGGTGAAAAGAACAGAAAAAGACCCTTTCGAGAGTTTTCTGAGTAAGGGGGGTAGATTATGAAAAGGGAAGGTGTGAGCACCCTTTTCATCCGTAGTTATCTTCGGGCTCTTAGAGGTTTGCTCATTTTGAAATACCTTTGTGCTTTGTGTATTTGAAAATGTTTTGAAAATGCCTTAGTATGGCAAACTTTGTAATGTTTCTCGGGATAGTGGAGAAAGTATACAAAGTGTTTTGAAAAATGTTTTTGAAAGGTAGTATTTGTGTAAGTGCAAAATGTTTTGAGCAAACTTCTAACATCTATCTACTTTGTACTTGAAAAAAGGTTATTCTTTTCCTCCTATCCTTTAGACAGCGCTATCCTACTATTAGTGAGTAGGCAACTCTAGTCGTTGGATGTATAAGAGACATTTGAAGGGACGTTACGATCACAAAGGAAACTTGGCAAGGAATTTTAGTAACTTTCCTAAAGTTCTAAGATCACTTTTAACCGAGGCAACATCGAGAGGGTCATCGAGGGACTTGTGATCTTTCAAACTAGAGGACAACCACTAAAACTTCTCACTTTTCGAGAATTGTGACCGTTTTTCTGAAGGCAACCAAAGTGGGGTACCCTAGAGGTGTATATGTGTAATGTGTGTTATGTTCAGTTATTTTTGTGTTTTTTGTTAGGTTTGCTAGCGTTTGATTTTAGTCTTTGACATACAATCCTATTAATCATACAACTAACAGTTAATATGAAAAGTAGTAAAATGCAGAAAGTAAGGGTCCTACGCTATTACAACCAAATCGAAAGACAAGTAAAATATAAAAATAAAGAAGAGAAATGAATTCTTCGATCCAGGCCATGGACTCCTTCGATTAACCCTTATTTTTCGTTCTTTTGATTAGGCTTAAGGGTTTACGTGAGCAAGCTTCGATTTGCACCCTTTTCTGCCTCCTTCGATTGGGTTTGGGAATGATATGGGCAACCTTAGATTGCAGCCTTCTCTACTTCTTTCGATTGAGTCAGGGAGTGGGCATGAGCTACCTTAAATTGCAGCCTTCTCTACTTCTTTCGATTTAGAATATGAAGTAACATGGACCCACGGAGCAGCATGAATGCATATCTTTCACTCATATTCTTGTTGTCTTTCGTTTAAATCTGTACAGGTTAGTTCCAACAAGAAAAGCAAACAAACCAAAAGGGAAGAAACGAAGAACATAACTAAGAGGCTATCTACGTTATGTTGAAACGAAAAGTAAGTAAAGGCTATTTACATGCCATCCTGAAATGAAAGATGCAAGGTAAATGGGGCTTACCTTGCTTGAAACAGGAACTTGCATGGGGAACTAGAGTTGCTGGATGATTTTGGATTCGAAAGGAGAGAGGCAAGTATGGTTTGATCTTGTTGAGTTTTGAGAGTTTTTTGGTGTGCTTATCTTAGGCTGTGTATGCGTGTAAAACAATATGTGTGTATGGTTCCCTTGGGCTTCCGTCTCTATCCTCTGTGCATATGTATATGGTCTCCTTATATAGAGGGGATGGAGGGGACAAGAAGGCAAAGGAGTAAACAACCATTAAGTTGGTGTTTTAAGGCCATGAATACCATTTTGAAAAGTTGCCAAAGGCATGTTTTTTTGTCCCTTTTTAAATTTGAATGAACCTGGGCATTTGACTTTCGAATGCTCTACTTTGAATGACTCTGATTGCCTCCTTCGAATGGATCTGATGGCCTCATTCGAATGGCTATGATTCAGCTCCTTCGAATAACTCTGATTGCCTCCTTCGAATGGCTCTAATTTCCTCCTTCGAATGGCTCTGATGGCCTCCTTCAAATGGCTCTGATTCAGCTCCTTCAAATAGCTCTAATGGCCTCCTTCGAATGGCTCTGATTTCCTCCTTTGAATGGCTCTGATTTTCAGAGTTTTCCCTTATCATATTTTCTTTAATTAAGGGAAAACTTCTCTTCGTCAGAGCATCTGTCCTTATGAATCAAAGACAAGTCTGAGGAAGCTTCTGTCTTGTGGATCGAAGGCAAGTTGGGGGAAGCTTTTGACTTAGCGAATCCAAGGCAAGCATGAAGAGGATTTTGTCCTAGTGAATCAAAGGTTGCATGAAGAGGCCTTTGGCCTTGTGCAACTCGAACCAAGGCTTGCTCGAAGGGGGAACCAACGCGCCTTCAAAGCTGATGGGCCAGTGCTTGATCGAAGGGTTTCAAACGTCCAATCGAAGCTTGTTGACATGCCAATCGAAGGACCCTTTGCTCTGATGTGCCAATCAAAGGACATTACTCAGATGCCAATCGAAAGACATTGTTGGGATGCCAATCGAAAGACACTTTGTTATCATTCAAAAATTTTCATTTTTTCTTTTGGCAAGTGTTTGTAACCAACCATGTAAAAGAAACCTTGGGAACTATGAGAGGGCAAATTTTGGGGTACAACAGGCTGTTATGCCCTTTTGTAATGACATTGGCATTTTGTTCTACTTATGCCTTCATGTAATGAATCCTTTATGAGCAACCCCCTCACATTATTAGTTTTGAATGATAGCAAATTTGTGTGAAATAATCAATGAATATTAAAAATGCTTTTATCTATATGTGTGTATTGTAAAAATATAGTATAACATGTTTAAAAAAATTTTAAGAATGTGTTTTACACATAAAACACTTTTATGAGTCGACACAAAGAGCTTTGCATCGACACATACTTAAGAAAAGAATCATAAAAACGATTCTGCTTCAGTATGAGTCGACACATCCGTGCTATGCATCGACTCATAACATGTTGATGCCCTTGGAAAACAATTTTCAACCTTTATGCATCGATACATAACTTCATGCATCGACACATGATATGTTGATGTCCCTGGAAAACATTTTTCAACTTGTATGCATCGATACATAACTCCATACATCGACTCATAACACGTTTTATCTTCAAAAATCAAAAATTCAATTCAGTATGTGTCAACACATATGTGTTATGTATCGACTCATGTAAAATGGTTGGCTATTAATATAAACAAACATTCCAGCATGGCTTTTAATGACACAGTCAACAAAGAATCTAATTCCACATATGAAACTCATAGGGAATCTTGGGGTACAGGGTTTACTGTTTGAGAATCTATATTTGTTAAGGGGCTAAAGAAATTTTTTTAATAGGGGGTAAATCAAAACTCACTACTATTTCAAAGGGGGTAAAGTATATTTAACCTTTAATTAAATTGATATTAAAAAGACACATCACAAATTCGACATATCAAATATCTTCCACACTATACTAACAACATTGCCTCTTTTTACCGGATTAACTGTTGAAACAGATGTGGAATATAAATTAATGCACACTCAATATTTTCCTCCTAACATTAAAACTATAAGCAATTTATTTTGTCCACAATAGAGGAAACCGCCTCACTTAAATATAGACAATTATCATGTTTTTTGGTAAACATAACATGTTTTTCGTAAACATAAAATAACATATCAAAGTTTATAAAATATTACAATCAGGTTTTTGAGATTCTGTTAGTGATTCTAAAACATCAACATAACACTCTATAGCATTGAAATCCTAAATCACTCCCAAGTAATGAGTACAACATAGAAAATTCAAGAGCAAGATGATTTATAAAAGATTTAAATCATTGGCCTTTGAAATTGTAGCTTGAGAAACTCCAATGACAGGACTCAAAACCTCAATCTACAATATTTTAGTGAAATGCTTTATTTTTAATAACACATATAAAAAACAAAACCCGTTTTAAGGCCAACCATAAAACCTAAAAGTAGTGTACGTGGCCATTCTTCCTTGCTACAGCTAATAACTGAAATATCAGAAAAACATAAGGAAATAATAAGAATCCTAAATATATTGCACAAATTAATATTAGAGAATCATCAAAAGTGAAATCCACTTTAATTCACCAGGTTAGAGTTATGGTTAATGATTGAAACTGCGTTAACATACATGGAAGCATCAGATTCACCCATCTCTCAACGACTTTGAGACCTCCTTGTTTTTCGCGGGATTCGAGAACTAACAACACAAACCATAAAGAATAAGTAAGATGAGAGTCAACAAAGTGTTAAATTAAGAATAAGAGTATGAAAGAGAGAAAGCACCTTTGATGAGACCGAGTGTGTCGAAGGTTAAAGCACGGACGAGAGGGAAGAAATGAAACAACGATAAAGGGAGTGAGCCGACAGAAATGAAACGAAGGTAACACCGCCAAAGAAAACATATGTTCTTGTCCCTCTCCTTCTTTTATATTAATAATAAATTTATTTTCACTTCCTCATAGGACCAGTAATTGGAACAACAAAATCAGATGAAGAAAGACTCTCAGTATAAATAGAAGATGAGAAGGTGAAATATAAGGAGCATATATTGAATGACTCGTGTATTGGAAACATTATAATAAAGAGTAATAATCAGCTTTGAATAAAGGAATAGAAGATGAAATGCAAAGGTCTTATTTATGATTCCAATGAATCTATCTCTTCATTTTATAAAATTCGTTGGATATGAATTAGTGTTCGTAGGAATTAATTATTGCAGAAGTAATTAATAGGTAAGTAATTAGGGGTGTGTAATTATATTTAGGGGTATGAAATAAGGTCTCAAATTAGATTTAGTTAGGATAATAAAGTAATTATGGTAGTAGTTAATTTTATTATATTATTTAAAGTGGATTTGTTACAAGACATGTCATATAGCGATATAAATGTAATAGAAAATAATTTTTTTTCTGAAGTCGAATTTTAAGAATGAGTATGGTCATATAAATGATTATCTCTTATGACGATAAACAACTATGAGGTAGAAGTGGAAGAAGGATCACATGCGTTAAACAAAATGGTCAAATTTCATCTAGGTCTCTCATGTCCCTCAAGGTGATTTGTAGAGTATCTATCAACCATCTTTATGATCATTCTGTTATGAAAAATATTTGATTGGAAATAAAGCACTTCACTCCACATCTAGCATCCATAATGGTTTCAGGTCAAAGGGTGATATGCACCAATATCACCTTGAGAATAACTTATAACACATGCATAAAATTATATGTAGTATTCTCACATTTGGTCAATCTAGTATAAATATTACTCATAATATTCATACATATGTAAAGAATTGATGAGTTTTATCCATGACCCGTGAGATGTGATCATCAGTCTATTCATATAATAATCTAAATGCTTTAATGTTATCTCACTTCACAATAAATCTTGACTATGAATACTTTAAGATTAGTATCCTTACATTTAATAGGATCTCATGATTAAATCACACTTAATGTTTCATTAAATGAACTAGCTATTTTAGGGATTTTATTATTTTGGAAAAAACATAACAAAGAAATGCTTTTTATTAATAACAAATAATTCGATACAAGTACTAAGTTCTAATAAGGCTATTGGCCTTTATCTCTTACACCAACGATATCTCACGAGCACTAAATTCAATAAGGCATACATCTAATACCTATAGATCTAGTATAACCATCAGGCTTCTGATGCATAAGAGGCTTTTCCAGTGGGTCAACGACATTATTAAGTGTTAATACTATACAATCTCTTATATCTATTATCTCTCGAATGATGTGATATTGCCTAAGTAGGTGTTTGGATCATTGGTGAGATCTAGCTCCTTAGATTGTATTATGACACCATTGTTGATACAATAGAGATCAATGAGATCCACAATGCTAAGGATTATGCCAAGTTTACTAATTATCTTTTTGATTCAAAAAACTTCCTTTGATGTATTTGAGGCAACAATATACTCGAACTCGTTTTTAGAATCAACAATTATATAATGCTTTGAACTTTTCAAGATCACAACACCATAATTTAAGCAAAACACATAACTATATATATATATATATATATATATATATATATATATATATATATATATATATATATATATATATATATATATATATATATATATATATATATATATATATATATATATATATATATATATATATATATTGATCTGACCTGATCAGAAATGGACCGTCACGGCTGGCTCCGAGCAGAAAGCTTTTTGAACGAGGTGGGGGGGGGGGGGTACCTGCAAGGCACTCCGATGCTGAAGTAAGTAGGAGTACGAGCAGATAATAGTAAGTTGAGGTTAGAATGATCAATACCTGACCCTCTGGAAACAGAGGGTATTTATAGCCCCCAGCGCTGGGCCAAGGTTCCTTCATTGGGCCGGGCGGATTTGGCCCAATGGAGGAACTGCCAGGTTCTACGTGGGTAGTGGGGACCCGCACGTGGTTCCCTTCCTGGATGTTCTGCGTGAAGTGCGGGCGGACGAAGACGCGGTCTTTCCGGAGTATCGTTGGGGAACGGTGGACTGAGTCTGCCCTAGTTGGGATGCTCGAGACAACGTCGAGCTGGACAGCAGGGTGTCGAGCTAGACGTCAGAACGTCGAGCTAGACAGCGGGGTGTCGAGCTGGACATCAGGGCGTGGAACTGAACGGCAGGATGTCGAGCTGGACGTCAGGAGGTGGAGCTGGACATCATCACGTGGAGTTGGACAGTGGGATGTCGAGCTAGACATCAGGATGTCGGGCACGGATGTGACCCCCTTTGCTCGGCGTGGTCCTCAGTAAGTCCCTTTGGACTGGGCCTCAGCAATGCTTTTGGGCCTGTCGGGCCCAGTCTAGAATAGGAGCCCCCCAAGTCGTGGTTCCTTTGCGAGGAGCCATGAGTTGAACCCAAGTTATTCCCTCGTTGAGGTCTCGTGCCCGGGATAGAGGTGTGGGCCCTCGAGGGGCCTCCCCGTGTCGTGCTCGGAGACTTCCTCGGTGGCGGATGCGCGGAGGATCCTTACCGGGCGGGTCGGTCGAGCACACGAGGTATCTTTCGGGAACTGTGCCGCCACCCTATGGGGGTAGGGTCATCATTGCGTTGGGAGCAGCGCGTCGAGGAGATGGAGTCCGTGGTTGCCCGAGGTGACGTTTGGTATTCCACGTCATCACTATAAATAGGAACCTTGGGCCCCATAATACGTTTTCCGCTCTCTGTGCTCTCTCTGCTGCTGCTCTTCCAGACTTTCTCCAGTTGCGACTTTCCGTTACAGATTCTTCCATTTCATAGCCAAATCCCACTATTTGATCCAAGTAAGTGATCTATCTTCTTCATTTTTCTGTTTAGAATGCATGATTTCTGGCGTTTGTAGATGTTTTAGGACCGTGCGCGTGGGTTTAGCCCGGTAAACTCATGCTTAGCCCGACACATTCATGTCTAGGACCGGCAAACGCATGTTTGTGGCCGGCACATTCACAGTTTTGGGTGATAAACTTCAGAGCTGCCCGGGGACTTCATGATCTAGGGCGCCTGATTCATGATCGCGCCCGGTATGTTCATGGTATTGGCCGTGGGCTTCATGGTGCGGCTCGCCATGTTCATACCTCGGGTCGACATGCTTGGAGAGTGGCCGCGCAGTTGATTTTGAGGAAGAACACCGGGTTCAGGACGTCGGGGAGGCAACCATTCGTGGGAACGGACTTATGTAGTCGTGTATGGGACGACATGATTTTGTCGAGCGTAGGACTTCGTGCTCAACTGACTGGTTTCCCGTGCTCTGCAGGTAACCATGGCGGACGAGCCGAGCTCCTCCGGACGCTGCGACCGTGAAGAACAGAGTGCCGACGAGTCGGTCACCCTGATTGATACCGTGACCGACCCTTTGCTGGAATGGGTTGGCGTCGAGCCGCGGGGGATAGCGTCGGTATACAGCCGGGACGACCGACATCCATTCGATGTCATTGAAGAGGGTCAAGACCAGCCCGACTTCCAGAAAAACTTCGTAGTCATGCTTCCGTCAACCCGTGCAAGGATTTGCTCGGTTTATCCGAATTACAGCCTCGCGATGTATGAGATCGCGTTCAAAGACCTAGGGCTGCGACTGCCATTCACTGATTTCCAGGCCGAGGTCTTTATGCACTTGGAGCTGGCCCCGTCCCAGCTACACCCAAACTCTCTCGCCTTCATCCGGGCGTTTGAGTTGACGTGTCGCTACCTGAGGATCGGGGCGACCATCCCGCTTTTCTTCCGGATATTTCACCTGCAGCGTCAGTCCCGAGGAGGGAAACATAGCTGGGTCTCCCTGAAGCAGTCGAGGAGACTCTTTAAGATGTATATGGACTCCGTGAGGGGGTTTAAAGACAAGTGGTACGTGGTACGGCCAGTTACCGACGCTGCTTTAAATTCCCTTTTCGAGGAGGAGGGGCCGGTGAGCGACGACAATGGGGAGGCGATGATGGGCGACGATGGGAACCCCGTGTTGGGTCGTAGGGCTAAAATCCCGGTGTACTGGATGTCCCGACATTACGAGCATGGGACCGGTTATTACCATACCGCCGCCGGGGACATGTGCTCGGAAGACGAGCAGGCGTACGGCGCTCTTTGCCGGTTTGTCGACAGTTTCCATCCCGCCCGATGGGTTACGCGGGAAGGGGATGATATCCTGGACAAAGATGGTTACCCGACGTTCGAGTCCCGTCCGATTGACACCAAGGCGCTGGTGGAGTGCCCGACATACAGGCCGGCCGCCTGCCTGTTAGGTTGTTTGTTGCTTGAAATTCTTTATTCGTCATTTACTTATGAAGTTTGCTCGACACTGATATGACCTTTATTTTGTGCAGGTACGATGGCTAGTCGACATGAAAGGCTCTTGAAATTATCCTGCGACCAGAGGCGGGGCAGAAGGGTCGTGAAGGCCCCACAGGCGACGAGGATGGGCCCCCCCACCAAGTCCAAATGCTCCTCAGCCGGTGAGGGTGGACTCGCCGTCGAGCTCGGGGCCCGCGTTGGATCCAGAAGTCGAGGAGATCGACCCCAATGCCGTTTTGATGCAGAGGAAGAGGACCCGTGTGGAAGGTGGTCCGACTGTCGGCGAGGACGCCGATGCTGTTAAATCTTTCGCCTTCCCCCCTTGCTTCGAAGAGGCGGGCTTTTTCGAGCGATTCCCTCCGACAGTGGTTGCCCATGAAGCTGAGGCCATAAAAAAGATGAGTAAAGAGGAACGGAAGGCGTATCTGGCCGCCAGCGTGGATGGGCTGGTAAAAATGGCCGAAATGGATTTGGTGCTATCCGAGGATGGAGGGGATTCTGCCCGTGTTGAAGAAATCGAGCAGGAGAAGGCGGCCCTGACCGCGAGCTTGCGGAAGTTGAAGGTCGCTCTGGAACGCTCCGAGGGGATGTTCCGAGAGCAGACTGCGATGCTCGATGCTGAGAGGGAGATGTTGACCCTGGAGAAGGAGAAATCGGGGAAGTTGACCGAGGAAGGGGAGCTTCTTCGGGAAGACAGGGATCGCCTGGGGGCCGAAGTCGAACGCTTGGCCAAACAGGTCGAGGAAATGAATGCTGCCCTACAACCTGCCGAGGACGAGCCCGAGGACCTCGTAGCTTTGAAGAGTCGGGCGGAGCTGGTCGCTCACATCCGGCTCCTCGAGGTAGACTGCGTCGGTGCCCTGGAGGACGGGTTCAACTCTGCGGTCGGTCAACTCTCCTTGCTAAACCCTGGCCTGGTCACTGAGGGTATCGGCCACACACACCAGATAGTGGATGGCGTGACCGTTCCTCCGCCCGACTCTCCGAACGCTGACAATGATGATTCCGTGGAGGTCTGAATAGGATAGCGGGCCTGCGTGCCCTTGATATTTGTATTCTTTGGGTCTGCGTGCCCGTTTATTGTACGTTGTGAACATCGCCGGCCTTCTTGGTCGGTTTATTAATGTTTTGTCGCCTTCGGGCATTTATATCAATGCTATTTTACACTTTGCATGTTTTGCCCTTGTTTGAAATCATTTATTTGCATGAATTTTTAGCCTAAGTCACGGGCCCGAGGAGTGCCCGTAAGTGGCTTTGATTTGGCGAGCGAGTCTGCCCGCCTCCGTTTGTATGCGTTCCCGGCCCTATTTCGATTGGCCAGAGTCACCTAAGTGGTGTGCTCGAGGGGAGAGATTTTCTTTTGACCCATGTAGATGGCCCGTTATTCTTGATGGAATGTCGGGCATTTCGGAGCGAAGTTGCTCAGTCGGGCGTGTAGCCCGTTAGGGACGATTCGCCCTTGGCGTGAACTGCCCATCGCGAGCTGGGTGTTCTGCCTTATGGGTACGATGACAGTGGGGCTCGGTATAGCTATCCACGTCGGGCACTATCGATCGTCATCGTTTACCGCGCGATGCTGTGCCATTTTGGTCGTATGTCGGGCTTGTACCTTAGCCTTATACGAGATTGGACGTTTTTCCTCGTTGACCGAGCGCGGGTGCTGCTGGTCAAGGGTCCCAGGTGTCGATAGTTTCTAACTGTAGTACTGCTTTAGCTTAGCAGCATTCCAGGGTCGTGGTAATAGCTCTCCATCTAACTGCTCGAGGTAGTACGCCCCGGTACCCGTGGTGCCGTGGACGCGGTAAGGTCCTTCCCAGTTCGCGGCCAACTTCCCTTCGCGGGAATCTTTCTGGTTCCTGCGTAGTACCAGGCTGCCTATTTCGAACTCGCGCTTGATGACCTTGTCGTTGTGGCGCAGAGCCACTCGTTGTTTTAGGGTGGCTTCGCGCAGGGCAGCACCCGATCGGATTTCCTCGACAAGGTCGAGTTCATCCCTTAGTGCTTCGTCATTCATTTCTTTGTCGAGGGGTTCCTCCGTTCGTCGGGATGGTTCCATGATTTCGACCGGGATGACAGCTTCGGTGCCGTACGTCAATCGAAATGGTGTTTCTCCCGTCGTTGAGTGGGGTGTGGTGCGGTATGCCCACAAGACGCTGTGGAGCTCCTCGACCCATCCTCTTTTGGCTTCGCCGAGTCGACGTTTGAGCCCTCGGAGAATGACTCTGTTAGCGGCTTCGGCTTGCCCGTTGGTCTGAGGGTGCTCGACCGACGTGAAATGTTGTTTTGTTCCCAATTTGGTGACGAAGTCTCGGAACCCGTGGTCGGTGAACTGGGTACCGTTGTCGGTCACCAGGGCCTGCGGAATTCCGAACCTGGCGAGGACGTTTCTTTTGTAGAAACGGAGGATATTGTGTGAGGTGATTTTTGCGAGTGCCTCGGCCTCGATCCACTTCGTGAAGTAATCCACGGCGACGATTAGAAATTTGTTCTGGTAGGTTCCTTGCACGAAGGGTCCGAGGATGTCCATGCCCCACCGGGCGAACGGCCACGGGGACGACAATGTGTTCAGCTCGTGCGGGGGGGGCGAGGTGCATATCCCCGTGCTTCTGGCACTTGTCACATTTTTTCATGTGTTCCTTGGCGTCCTGTTGCATCGTCGGCCAGTAATATCCAGCTCGGAGGGCTTTCCTTGCCAAGGATTTACCGCCCATGTGCTGGGCGTTGATCCCTTCGTGTATTTCCCGCAGTACGTCGGGGATGGCGGACTCGTCGATACATTTCAGGAGGGGAATGGAGAATCCTCTTCGGTACAGTTTCTGCTCGAGAACAACATAGGAACATGCTCGTCGCTTGATTATGGCCGCTTCGGCCTGGTTCGACGGGAGTTCTCCCTTTGTCAGGAAATTATAAACCGGGGTCATCCAGGACGTGGCATCCCCGATGGCGTGGATCTCGACCGTAGTCGAAGATGGTTCGATGCTCGGTCGTGCTAGAGATTCCTGGATGACGGATTTATTCCCGCCCTTCTTTCGTGTGCTCGCAAGTTTGGACAATATGTCCGCCCTCGTGTTTTGCTCGCGGGGAACATGAGAAATTTCTGCACGTACGAACTTCGTCATTTGTTTTTTGACTAAGTTCAAGTACTCAATGAGGTTTTCATTTTTGGCCTGGTAGCTTCCCTGTACTTGAGAGGCGACGAGCTGGGAGTCGGTGTAAATTTGAACTTCGCGGGCTCCTAGGTCCTCGGCTAATCTCAGTCCTGCGAGCAGGGCTTCGTATTCTGCCTGGTTATTTGACGTCGGGAAGGAGAGAACCAAGGAGTGCTCGATTACTACACCTTCTTCGTTTTCCAGTAGGATCCCTGCGCCGCTTCCGGACGAGCTGGAGGCTCCGTCGACGAAGATGGTCCACTTGTGTTCCTTCCCCGGGGGTAGGTCGTGAGTGGTCATCTCCGCGACGAAGTCGGCCAAGGCTTGTGCTTTCAGGGCCTTCCTGCTCTCGTACTGAATGTCGAATTCGGAGAGTTCCAAGGACCACTTTAGCATTCTGCCCGCCATATCTGGCCGACCCAGGAGTTGCCTCACCGGCTGATCGGTTCGCACGATGATGGTGTGGGCTAGAAAGTAGTGTCTGAGTCTCCTCGCAGCGTTGACGAGGGCCAGAGCAACCTTTTCTATCTGTTGATATCTGCTTTCGGGGCCTTGTAAGGCTTTGCTCGTGAAATAGACAGGTTTCTGCCCGTCAGGGGTTTCGCGGACAAGGGCTGCGCTGATGGCTTCGTTCGAAACGGCCAAGTATAAGTATAGTGGTTCTCCGTCGTCTGGTCGAGACAGAACGGGCGGTTGAGATAGGCTCTGCTTCAGATGGCGAAGTGCGTGCTCGCATTCCTCGTTCCATTCGAATGCTGCTTCCTTTCGGAGGAGCTTGAAGAAGGGGAGGGCGTGCTGAGCGGACTTCGCGACGAAACGGGACAGCGACGTCAACATGCCGTTCATGATTTGTATCGACTTCTTCGACGTCGGTGTCGGGAGGTCGGATAACGCTCGACATTTGTCGAGGTTGGCTTCAATCCCTCGTTCTGTTAGATAGAATCCTAGGAATTTTCCTGCCTTAACCCCGAACGTGCACTTCTCGGGGTTGAACCTCATTTTGCACTGTCTTGCTTGGGCGAAGACTGTCTTAAGATGAGCCGCGTGATCGGTGTCTGCTCGGGATTTGACGATCATGTCGTCCATATATACCTCGAGCATGTCGCCAATCTGTTTGTTGAACACTTTGTTCATCATGCGTTGGTAAGTTGCACCGGCGTTCTTCAGTCCGAAGGGCATTACGTTGTAGTAATAGTTGCCCGAGCTGGTCATGAACGCCGTGCAGCGTTTGTCGCCCAGAGCCATTGGGATTTGATTGTATCCCGAGTAGGCGTCCATGAACGACAAAGTCTTGTAGCCGTCCGAATTATCGACCAGCATGTCGATGTTAGGT